GATTTATCTTCATCAGACACCATTTTGATGACCAACACGGATGTTTTACGCATGTTTAAATTACGAATATTCATTTGAGATATACAGATGTATGTAGTAAGAGTTATGGATATATTTAAGTCGGATGCCCATGTAGATATCAAAACAATCTGATGAGTATTCAATTAAGGGCTGTAATATTGGACTGAGGACTAAAAATGGTTAAAAAAGCTCATAAAATATTATGTGGTATGTGGCTTCTTTAGGGAGTTTTTTTATTTAATTTCAAAGGCAATAAATCGATAAGATTTTAACAACACGAATATACTTTCACTATTGTGGATCCATGTTTATTTGTCTCCAAAAAAGAAAAATCACTTAAGTGTTGAAGGGTTACAGGGGTGGTTGTTTGGGACAGCCGTTGGTTGGACTATAATAAAAATTGATTCTTATTCATAAATCAGTTACATCGTCCTAGCCCCTCGGGAGTTGATTTTTGGGGTGAAGGAGAGGTTATAGAGCTTCATGCCCATTGACACTTTTCTTTTTCTACATATTAAGAACTATGAACCTGTAAAGTTTCAAGAAAAGTACCCGAAAGCCATTTTCCATAAAAAAAAGTGCGGAGTCCTTTCTCAATTGGCTCTGGTTTTCGAGAAATTCTAACCTAAAAGTGCCAAAATTGCGATTTTTTACATATTTGAGATTATGTTTCATGGAAAGCTAATTTTTTGCTGAAACCGTTAATGGGTTTTAAAGTACTTTACTTACTCTTTAAAATGCACTTGGACTTATTCCGATATCATTTTTCGTCTTTGAGAAATCGCATGTTCAAATTTAGTACTATTATTTCTCGATTTTTAGAGTTTATGGCTTTGAAGTTTATTTGTTAAGGTTTTGTGGGTTTATTGGTTTATGGGCTTAGGGTTTGTGAGTTCAGGATTGAGCGTATTCGACTCTTTTGCGTGTAATGTAGTTCCAGATTGATATAATACATAAAATATCGGCTATATTTAGACATCTTTTTAAAAGTTATTGCAAAATTTGAGGTGGTAGAGTATTTTGGAGTTCAGATTCATATGTAGCGACCCCAAAAACATGTAAGATCCCTACTTGCCGATGAATTTAGGTTTGTGGTTGCTGTGTTGTCAGTATATTCAAAAATCGAGCAATAAGGCAAACTACTACAACGCACCAAAATCCTTCAGAAAAGTACATTCTGGTTTCTGTGTTAAAGGGTCGGCCAAATTTTATCGACCTGTATATTTAACGATCTCGGAATGTAATAATTTTCATTTTTGCACAAAATAATTTGAATTATCTATAAACTCTTTAAAATCTTAAGAACTGAAAATTTGGAAAAAAAAACTGAATCTGGAAAATTCTGTATCAGTTTCCCTTTTCCAGTTTATAAATAAAAGACGCAACTATATTACAGAATATAGGCCAAGTTAATAGTATTCGTAAAGGAATTTACAAAAAACATAGTTCCAATCATAAGAATGTGCAAGAAAGTAACCGATTTTATTCTTATACGGGAAGAAGCGATTAGCGCCAGAAAAAGATATTTATGAAATCAGGGAAAGTAAACTATATCCTTTCTGATAGAGAGAAGACTTTTATATTAATATAGAGACTAAAAAATTACTAAGTTTACTGAAATTATTGCATTATTCGTTTTTTACACTTAGTACAAATTTCAAGAACAACTGAAATTACTCGTAAAATCATCATAAAGGAAGTAGATAAAGAATTAATATTTTTCAGTTTTATAGTTTTCAGTTTCATAATTTCAGTTCTCCACTAATAACGGAATTGAGTTCTTAGGTACTTATATGTACATATAATTAAATAGTGTTTCAGTAAAACGCCTTGGATGACTAACATATTTTTCAGATATAAATTAGGGAAATTACTATTTCTTATGGTTTTTGTTTCTGTTTTGAAATGCGCTATTATTTCATTGAATGGAAGGAAATCTCCTAATAGTCACGAATGAGGTTTGAATTTATTTTTTTTGAATTGAGAATGTCTTCAATTCTCTAAATTAATGTAGGGCGGCGAATATTTTACTGACATATTATTGCAGTTTAGAAGTTAAGCAAAAATCGTGATTCTATTTGCCATGCAACACGTAGAAATTCTTACAAATCTGCTGAATTCGGAAGTAAATCAGCTTCTCGAACAGAAACGTCTTCCGCCAAGTTTACAGCAGATACTTTCATTGCGTTTCTAATAGATCATCGGCAGTTTGTTATTTTTTTGCGTTTTGCCATTATCAGAGCTGCATCTACCGGTGAATGTTAAGCCGTTGCTCCGAATATAGGCGGTTCATGCCAAGAAAATGTTACATATTAAGGAATTTTTACATGAAATGCCTAACGATCCATACAACAGTGGCGCTGCTACTTCGATTAGACAAGAATTATTTACTTTAATCTTTATATAAACACATAAACATGTAGGTATATGAAAATCCTTGTTATCAATAATTCAAGAAAATTTCATAGATATAAATATCACTAAACTAAAAAAAAAACGCATTGTTAAAAAATTTGGAAGGGTTTAATTTATAAGGAATTTTAGAAAAATTTATTAGTCCTAAAGGCAATAGAAAATATAAACATATTCATGCCAAAAATGTTTATTGGCCTTTATATGTATTTATTTCGGGATTGTTAGTTGCTTTAGATTTTAGGTCAATCTTCTGAGGAAAACCAATTCACACATCACAGATCTATATATCGAAAGGTTTGGAAGATTTTTTTGAGTCTGAAGGAATTTTTCAGCAAAATATTCAAATATAAAAGTACAGAAAAGTCATTGTGATATTATTTCGCTTCTACAGTTCTTTTTTTTTCTTTAAGAAGGTATACGTTAACTTAACTCTCTTCTTTAGCTGCAATTTTAGATTGTTCCGATATGACCTTTTTTCTTCAAGATATCACCATTTAAAAACCAGCAGTTATATGTAAAATTTTCTATTCCATTCATTCTAAGCTTGGTCATCTAGAACATACTAAATAATAGTGTATACCTACATCTTTTATTGCTCGTGGTGCTTGATTAACGTGAGTTTCCTCACCCCTGATAAATCAAGTGCTTGATTAACGTGAGCAGATAAGTTTTTCGAGCTCCGAATGAATCATTTAAAAAATATTGCATTTTTTTTACCTGTCATCTAAACGTAACTCATTCAATACTAGAATCAGTTAACCTTTAATTCTTGGAAAAAAAGAAGGCGTATAGAGAAAACCAAAATGAACATTAAAGTGGAAGATAAGTACTTTACGTTAATGTATGTTATTGAGTAGCAGAAATATCTGTAGATGTAATATAACTTCAAAAACATGTTGCACTAGATTTGAATATCTCAAAATTCTGACAGAGCAGTTCTATGGTCAGTTTGGATCCAGAATTCGAAAAATTATATTAGACAGTATCAGATACAGTCTTGAATGGACTAATCCTCGACTTATTGTTAGTATCATTTACTTAGTAAATGTAGATTGTTTTCGAAAATTACCAAGTGTATAAAAAAAGTAATTACGAATTGACAAAAAGAGGTCATAATTATAGAGTCCCGAAGATGATGAAATAAAACAACGAAACAACAACGATTATATAAATTCATTTCTATAAGATTAATCTAAAAACAAAAGTAACTGACAATCTTAAAATAATAAATTATAGTCACTTTTTCTGAGCAAACAAAAGATGCTAGGCCTATACTACGATCATGACATACAAGTTATTTATTTTAAACCTAAATTTTGTCATTAGCTTCGCGGAAATTTGATGGGCGCATCTTTTGTTAGGTTTTAAATCGTTAAATATGTTATGCAGGGATGGTACTTGAATACTATGAGTCTAACTTTTTTAGGTTAGTACTATTTTCTGATGAACATGTTAATTCTACTTAAAGAATGTACTTTTGTTAATGTCAGACCATACTATTTAGAACCTCTCATACATAACCCTACCAATTTTTAAAAAGGTATGTTGAAGAATGACTTTTCCATCTTGGTTTATTGCCCTTTTTGATGTTTTTATAATTATTGTTAAAGATGACAAATTTGTTTTGAAATAATCACTCAAAGCGTACGTATATAATGCATTAGCTAAGCTAGTTCAAATTAATTCCAAAATTTGATTAAATTCTGATTAAATGAAGTGACATATTTCTTTCAAGGCACATATCTAAAACTAAAGATACATTTCATAGAAATAATTATTTTTAAATAAAATTACTCTATTCAAATTGTACTGTTAAGGAAAAAATACATATCTTCGTATTTTAATATCCCTCTCCTGATTTATTACAATTTTTTTTCAGAAGAGTAGTTTTTTGCACAATCTTAACGTTCCTTTTTCTGTTTTGTTTAGTACAGTTGATTTAAATAATTTGGAAACAATTAATTCACCAAAAATTTTGTACATTGTTTTAGTTATATTTTTTATATTATTGTGTTTTCGTTGTCTGCTTTTTCTTCTATTATTATTTCTTTTTTATTTAGTATGTACGTTTGTGTACACTTATACTTTATGTTTTTATCTGTTTAATTATATTTTACCTCCGCAATGAAATTGTTCTATGGGGTTGCCTAATATTAAAAAAATAAATATAGAAATAAATGATGTTTGAATAAACATACAATAACAATTATTTCATCGAATGATCTGACATTTTTTCTTATTTTTTTTTAATATGAAAATAATTATTAAAAAAGTCCTAAATATATTTATTCATATATTCATTTCTAATCTACTCTAATTGCATCATCAAAAATAATTTCATTAATTAATTCAATTAAATAAGATTCCAACGATAATACATGCGTGTAACGCTACTGTCCCTCTAAATTTTACGCTTGGCGCGCTTCTGAATCTGCATTTTTTCATCCAGTCCGTGCATTCTTACGGTATTAATTAATAATACTCACATTATAATGAACCCCTCCAAATCAAATCGCTATATGTATAAATAGAATTACCCCTCTGATAAAAATATTCAGTGTCCTCTTGCACAACTTTCCCATATCATCCAGTCTGTGCTAGCTGTGAGTAGTAGTGTGAAAGTCTTTCTTTTACATCTTATATAAATCACCTTTTTGTTTCAGGAAAATGTTCGGGATTTATGTATTTGCTGTTTATGCGAGTAAGTATTAACCTATAGATATTTAAATCTTTGATATAAAATGAGCAACTTGTGGCCTTTCTTTTCAGTCTAATAGACGTGACGATCCAGCTAATTATTTTAAATAGCTAAACTGTTATTCTATTATGCTATTAAATTATTACATCATTTTGCTTTTTTATGTATTTTGTAACGTTCTCTATAACATATAACTTTAAATACTAATTAACATTTTTTTTTTGGATCAGAAAATACACACAGGGTGTTCGTTTGGTGGATATCCTCTATAGCTTTTATGTGAATTATCTGATCGATGTCAAATTTGAAATTAAATAATTTAAATTCATTTTAATGTTTAGCCTAGTTTTTAAAACCTAATTTCACTTAGATCATACCATCAAAGACCAATGGCTTCAAAATCACTCCTAAACATTTTCATAGTTGCAATATAAACTCGTCATCCAATTCACCAGCCACATTTTTTAGTTTTATTCTTCTTTTACTGCTTCTGTCTGAATATACAGGGTGTCCCACTTAAGAACCGACACAGGGTAGGTGCATATAGGGGTGTCCAAAATATTGTTATTTAACCAAACTTACCAATATATATTATAAAGTTGCACTCTTGAGGAGTTTTTAGCCCCAAAGTGGGGCCCTAAATTTCGAAAAAAATACGAATACAAAAGTAAAAAGTTTTTAAAATTAAATTCTGCTATGAATTAATATTATTATTTTTCAATTCGGTCAATGAAAAAAAAGTTCGGTACAATTTTAGGGATCATCCCCAATGAACACCTTGTAGTGCTTCAATTAACATTAAATCATAGTCAAGGAAGACCAGTAATAAACCTCAATCATGTACCAAATTTGGTTCTTCTGCAGTAAAATGTTGCAGAGATATTAATTTTTTTCGAAATTTAAGGCCCCACTTTGGGGGCTAATAACTCCCCAGGGGTGTAACTTTGTATAAAGGTAAGTATGGTTAAATTACAATATTTCGGACACCCCTACATGCACCTGCCCTGTGTCGGTTCTTATGCGGGACACCCTGCATTATTAAACAAATGGGCAAATCTAAAAGAGATAAATAAACCTTCTATTCTTAAAGAAACGCCTTCAGTTTGGTTCTATTTTCACTGTTTCTATAAAGACATATTATTAAGCAAATAGGCAAAACTTGAACAGGCAAAAAAACCTATCCCATTCTTTATCAAACGTTTTCTGTTTGGTGACTTCTTTTAAATTTTAAAAAAGATAAATAAACTATACTTATTCTTTTCATAAAAGATAAATAAGCCTTGACCATTTCGTAGCAAGGTTTAGTTTTTCTGTTACTGATCCTGTATTATTTGCTCAGAAAATTGAATAGATAAAAGAACCTTGACAATTCAGCAAGTTTTTTCACTTTGGTTCTTATTTTGCTGTTTATATATGGATGTATTATTAAGCCAAACAAAGCTTTAAAAGATAAATCAATCATAATCTATTTATTTATTTAGCAAGTTTCTTCAGTTTGGATGTTATTACGTTACTGTGTCTACCTGAATATATTATTAAGAAAGCAGGCAAAACTTGAATAAATAAATAAATCGTGACTGTTCTTTAACAAGCTTCTTTCGTCTGGTTTTTCTTTACTGTTGCTGCATGAATATATTGTTGAATTAATACAAAAATCGCAACAGATAGATAAACTCTTTTTTTTCTTTAAGCGATTCAGTTAAAATTATTATTAAGGAAATAAGCAAAGTTTAAAAAGATAGCTTCATCATAATTTCTTCCCAACCTCATTCACTTTGGTTTTTATTGTACTGTTTCTGTACGTTAAAAATATAAGTAAACCTTGACCAATCTTCAGCAAGCGTCGCCTTGGCCGGTATTCCCGTCAAGAAACTGAGGATAATAGTTCCCGAGCAGCATGCCCAAGCTACGCACACCCTGGTCGCCACGAGCGGACACGGATTCGACGGCGGCGAGTACGGCGGAGATTTTGAGGGACACGTCAGCGTCGATGGGGGAAAATCCAGCAGCGGCGCCGAACTCACCAGCCTCGCTCATAGCTCCGCCCTGCAAGCCAAGAATGCCGTTCAAAATCAGCAAACCGCTGGCAGCCAAGCTGCCTTCGGAGTCAAAAGCAGCCTTGCCAGTGCTGCCATAGGGGTGAGTCTAGTCTTCTTTTCCACGTATTTCGGCAACTCTTGTGGTGTAAATACAGTCAAGGGGTTCCGAGAAATTATAAAATCATCTTTTAATTTTTTTTTCAATTACATACTTAAATGTAAAAAACAGTAAAATAGTAAGTTTTTCTAATATCAATTGAAGAACCAACAGATTGATAGTATGTACCAGGTTCGGTCGCTGACGCAGCAACTCGGCATTGAAATATTTGAAAAACTTGTTCCCATAAATATGGGAACATACCCATATATAGGTCTGGTCGAACTAAACGTGGAGGCGATAGAAATGTATACGCTCAGTTGAAGAATGCGAGCGCAGGCAAAGGAAAACGATTACAGTTGCATTGGGCTACTGGGCAATAAATCACAACATATGACAAGTGGTTAATAAATTGCCCAGTAGTGCAGTGCAGTAATGCGGAATTTGGTGTGATTCAGGTAATTTTAATTTATTATAGACACCTTCTATCAATCATTCATATTACAATTGCGAAAGGGAGAAATAAGAGGGATATTTTGTTTACTAATATTATCACAACATGGCATTTTGGAGACCTTTTAAAACGGAACAAAACGAAATTTACCACCAATATAATAAAATTGTTTCAGGACATAAATAATTAAAATATGTTGTTGGCCAATTGAACATATAATAAAAATTTTCTGCAAATTATTTATACAAATTATTATAATTTTTTACCTTTAGCAGAAATTTTTTTTAGGGACGCCTACGAAACTCATTAAATTTTAATACCAGATGTTTTTTTGCATGTTCAACTAACTTCGGAAAGCCATAATACGTAATAGTAGTAGTAGTAATAGTAAAATAGTAGTAAACATTGTAACAAGTAAAAAATTATTATTTTTTGACAGGGCTAGTCCAACTATACGAGATCTATACTTACGTGAACAAATATTTATGAATAGCGATTTTTGAATATTTATAAATTTTATGACATTCGTGAATGTTCGTTCATATTTGCTTAACCACTTTGTTTCCACATATCGCTCATCAACAGCTAGTATTTTGCAACGAAACTACAGAAATTATTTAATCTCATTTTCCACAAGCCATACGATCGAAATATTATCCCAAGTTGTATTGATTTATCTATTGAAAACGGACAATATATATATACAGGGTGTTATAATTCTACTTATAAAAATAATGATAAAAGTTCATATGATATATTTTGACGATTCAAACAGTTATTTTTGCAGTTAATATTTAGCAATTTTTTTAATCTATTATTGGAAAACTAGGAAAAAGAATGTTAACAATTTAAGCCTTAATGGACTTACGGTCCTTACTCTCTAGAAAATCTATCACGATTTTTTTATTTGTAGCTTTTTCAGAAAATTAAATAACTTTATATCAAAGGTCATACAAAAATCTTACAAAAAAGACTTCTCGTTTCGGATAACATTTACTGATTTCGTAAAAATCGCATTTAATGTATTTAAGCAACCCTATGAAACGGTTAAAATGATGTTTTTGTTAAAATTGAAAATAATGTTAAATGTGCTGAATTTTCTAGGGCCATTTAGTTTTTTGATACTTGCTTCGTAGGTGAAGTTTATTGCCAAAGACAAGTGCACCAAAGTTCTGAGGATGCCGTAATAAGAACAACGAAACGTTAACAAATTTATTATAGTGTTTATCAATAGAAGAAAAAAAGAATGCGCTCGTTAAAAAAATAGTAAATAAAAATTACCACTTAATTTATTCGTTTTTAGCTCTCGGACATTATGTAGAACGTGTGATACTTATGGTTTAAGCACCATTTTATGATTGTTTAAAAAGTTGTCCTGTAAGTACCAGACATGTGACGATGTGTTTTAGTTAAAAACTTTCAGAATTTATTATCGTAGACTGTGCTTTCACTCACGTAAACCACGCCGAAGAGAATTTTTTCAATCCTTTAGCGGAGTGAAGACAGATCTTTCGTCTAAGAGATTTCAGTTTAGTCAGGAATAGTAAGGAAAAGGAGAGGAAAAGCAGTAACAGCTTTCTTAGAAATTAAAAATTCTTTTAAAAGTAATAATTGTTGAAGAGATTTGTTTCTAGATTTTCTTTATAATCACAGTTTAAACAGTCTTTTTGATAGTTTTCATGACAGGAGTAAGAAAATAATGCTTTTTTCCACTAAATGGTACTCGATAGTAATTACTAAATTATTACAAATCCAAAATTTTGGAATTATGTACTTACATAATCTAAGGTGATGACTACAACTAATTTCGTTAGATATTAGTATTATTTTCAAAATAATTATTGGAACTTATAATGTTTATTTACGTTTATCTTTCATCTCTAAAAACAACTGATACTTTATTTAATCGCACTGAAATGTGGGTAAAGAGTGAATTTAGATAATAATTACACATATTCATTCTTATTTTTGATTTTCTGACTCATTTATTAACCTTTAAACTTCAAGAAGAGGAGAAGTCGATAGTTTAAAAGAATGAAATTTCTACAGACACAGATACGAAAATTGAAATTTATATAGCGTATTACCCAGTGCTCCCTCTGTGCGTCATATTTTTTGAAATTTTTTTTGAATCTAGATTTTGAGATATTGTTGTTGAAAGTTGTTTATTTTAACATAGGTTTATTTTTGCCCATAACTGAAAAAATGTAGAAATTGTGAAACAAAACTTTTCCATATATAGTACACAGTATTATCTTATTTTTAATTTTCATTGCATTTCTGTCTGACTTGAGGATTTATGTGGCAACGTCTCAATCAACTGGCAGCAAGGAGGGAATACATTTGAAAGACTTGATAAAAACGAAATTGATTTCAAACATATACATTTTTCCTAAATTCCATATATATTATTATTAACAACAACAGATTATTTTTTGTAATGTTTTTAAAAAACTAAATTAATTGAAAAAGGCTAGGAAGCTGTGATATATTTATTGGAATAAAAAATACAGTTGATAAATCCTTTTAATATATTTAATGGTTTACAAAAAACATCGTAATCCGTACCCAGCCATATTTAAGGTTACATAAAGTTTTCTTTACTTGATTAATATAATTAGTGATACTTGAGTTAAAAACATTTGTACGGAATAACAAAGGAACATAAATATTTCTCAGCAAACTTTATATCTAAAAAATTAGCTATAGTTGCAAAACTTTTGTAACATTACTAAAATAGAGATTAAAAACACGAACAGTGAGTAATAATGTAATTTCTATCACAGAACCTTCAAAATTGCATCCAACATTTTCTTTGACTTGGACGAGAGATGGGCGCGAGTGTCATTTCATTTCTTTAGAACTAAATTAACATAATTCTCGTTGTTTTACCAGTTCACATGATTTACGGATTTTAAATAAAGGATACAAATCTTCGCGAGGATAATACGATATATTTGCTATATATAATAATTATATTGTACATAGTTTACACACAATACATTTTTGAACGCGTACGCATCTTTACCCGAATTTGACGCGCAATATCTCCGATGTCCGAGGTCTGTAGGTTCGCAGTGTGTACAACTGCTAGTCAATTATTAGCGCTGTTGCCACATCTACATAGTCTTTATGCGTTCATTAAATATAATTTAAAACTACTTAAATATGATATTTTTATGTTGTTAATTAGTCAATATGTATGCTATGTGCATATGAGTAGATTTCTTTGCTATATAGATAATGTTTATCGCAAATAATTTCAAGAGAATTTAATTTTTTCAAATTGGCAGCGGGCTTTAGTCCCATAAGAAAAGCATAGGACTCCCCCTGCGCTCCTGACTTCCCTCGGACCCCGATATACATCCGTAAGAGAAACTGAATTGCAAGATAAAATCACTTGCTATAGACGTTGAAATGGGATTAGTTACAAGTCATTTTTGTACCCTAATAAATTGTGTTTTGTACTTGGTATTGATTTTGGTCTTTTGTATATCTTAAATAGTGTTATCTCTAAAATGTTGTATGCAGAAAAATTATTTCTTCTATCTATCCCACTCTTACAACGTTAATGATTTTTTTTTTGGTATATCATTATTAGGCAATTACACGAATATTTCAGTTTTACTTAAATACAAATATTATATTTGTTTAGACAAATGATTTGAAAACAATAAATTTTAAATTGCATCTTGCACCAGCCTCCAACTGCATTTTTGGTACTACATAGTACGTAACACCAAATTCACTAACCTAACTAATTTAAATCAATAATTATTTATTTTTTATTCAGGCTGCCCAGACCGCCCAAGCTGCCCTTGTTGGTAAGCGCGCCATCGTCCAGAACCTCAGAAGACAAGTCGATGAAGCCCAACAGCAACTTCAAGAAGAGATCGCCCATTACCAACAGATCGAGTCGGTCGTTCAAGCAGCCCTCTCCACCTCCCAGCAAGCCCAAGAGCAACTTAACACCTTGACAGCTGCCCTAGCCGCATCCCAGAGCGGCGCCCAGGGGGCCGAGAGAGCCGCTTCCGAAGCTGCGAATGTCGCAGCTAGCCAACAGGCGATGGTGGTCGAAGCTAGGCAACGTGTAAATAACATTCTCGGTCAGCTTCATAACGCCTTGGGTGACCTTCAACAAACGGAGGCGGCTGCTTACAACGCAGCTGAGTCAGCTCAGGCTGCCCAGTCCAACGCAGCAGCTGCGGGCTTGGAGGTAGCTGCAGCCAGCGCAAAAGGGAGTCAGTCTAAGTCTAGGGGTTCTGGCTACCATCATTTTTAATTCTATATTTTTTATATATGTTTACGTTTTTTTATCTGTGTATTTTAAATAAACTGTTTTATTATTAAAATTGTCTATGATTGGCTTGATGAGAGGTTCGAGGGAGGATCAAAGATTTTTTTATTTGTCAATAGTCAAGATATAACATTAAGTATTGAATTTAATTTAAAAAACCTAGATATAGCGTGTCCCATGATCAAATGTTTATCTAAGACGATTTCCGCGATATGTGCCTCGAACATTAATATAACATTACTTTTGTATGTTTTCAAAAACGTAATCACAAAATTTGATGCAGTAATACAAAAGAAATGTTTAGAAAACCATGCTAGTAATTTTGTATTTTGATTACATGTGTCGGAGATATGAGGAGGTTAGTCACTTTACAACGTAACTTCTACACCTTTGACTTATTTTTAATATTTCTGTACTCTTTGTTGAAGCGACATATTTTTGGTAAATAATAATCCTGTCAAATTTAAAATTTCCTATTTTCTTAAATTTTAAAATAAATAGGATAATTAAGAACTACTTTATTTTTGTTTTACAAAAGCAACTTATTTTCAAAATATTTGAATGATTAATAGGTTACCACAAAAAAGAAACTAAATCTGTACAAGTTTAGTTTAGTTTATTGATTATTAGCAAAGTAAATACACCTAACTTTATTATTTATGTACAACAGTCTTCAAATCAAACATGTGACAAATAAAAAGAACAACAAATACATTAACAACCATTTAAAATAAAATGAGAGTGCCAAGCTCACCTAGAGTTCCTGTGGGGAAGGAGCAAGGCAGAGAAACCCACGATCGTTGCTCTAACTACCCAAATATAAATACAAAACAACTGCTAACAAAAGGCATAAATTAAGATCCTTTGCTAATGATCATTAAGACCTGACTTATTTAATTTCTCACTAAATGTCACCCCACTCGAATTAGACATACACACTTCCAAGTAAAACTGAAGACGTTTGGTGTTAGTTAGCCGGCAGGGCCGGAAGGTACTGGTGTCCCATACGGGAGGCAATCCAGCTATGAGTTGAGATTTCGGAAGATCTGTTTTAGCAATTCTTTTTTTGTATTTAATTATTCATTTTTTCAGATTCGTGCCTCAAGGGCGAAAATGTTAGTAAATTCAACAAGGCCCGTATAGGCGTATGACATAAAGTGAGCACAAGAAATGCTTTATTATTTGTTTTTCGAACAACGTAATCATGATAAAACAAGATAAATGTGAAACAAAGGAGTTGTTATTGCAATATCGGGGCAGTCACGACAATATATGTAATAAATAATGAGCAATCGTTAATAATAATTGTAACAATTTTACTTTAGAAAAATATATGCCCTTGAGCATAAAGCAATGGGGGCTAAACATACAAAGAATTATTATCATGAAACATCTATAACCATCACAATCATAAGATTACATAGAACAACTAACAACAAAGTACTTAGAGAATATTACCTGCTAATTAATACGAGTTAAACACTTTGATTTTCACTATTTTGCCACACTGTCCGCCGATCGTCTTCCTCCCATCTCCACACTGTTCACACTTTAACTATTTAGGCTTCCTTCCAGAATTCCCCACCTAAGCGTTTGTTTTTGTGCTTCCTTCTATCAACTGTCAATATTACGTTTTCATTATTATACACCCACGTAACAGGTGACGTTGAAGTTGATGCTATAAGTATGGTTTTGCACAAGCTGGCGTAAACAAAATATTTGAGATGATAATTTGGAAGAAATATAGTCTACATGAGAGACCAATTAAGTCTGGTGTCGAGTATTATTCCAAGCAGCATGGCATTTATAGATGATATCCATTTGCCAGAAGAGAATAACAGATTTTGAGTTTTAATGTTGTTTATTTCAACATATTGGAAGAAAACCAAATCACTGCTTGAAATAATCTGTCATTATGCAACTCTATAGTATCTCTAGTTGTTGTGTCATCAGCAAATAGTAAACAAGAATCCACACAAACAGAAAAAGGGAGATCATTTATGTAAATAAGAAATAAAATTGGGCCCAGGACCGAGTCTTGTGGAACCCCATTCTTAATAGGTAGCAGGTCTGACTCACTTCCTTTTAAACTTACATACTGCTGCCTTTTATACAGATATGATGATAATAGATTAAGCATGTTTACTTTAATACCGTAGTATTCTAGTTTGCATATCAATATCTCCACATTAACACAGTCAAATGCCTTGGTGAGGTCACACATGGTAGCTTTCGTACTTGTGCCCTCATCAAGTCCCTCCACTACTCTATCAACTAATTTTAATAACGCTTTTATTGTATATTTGTTTTTTCTAAATCCGAATTGTGCTTCGGTAAATATGGATTTATCTTCACAGTATTTGAACAATCTGTGTATAATAATAATAATCTCAAACATTTTACTAATAATAGGAACAGTTGATATTATCTAGAATTGTACAATCGCCCTTCTTATGCAAAGGTAGAATTTTTGTAGTTTTTAGTGAGTCAGGCCACACACCTTCTTCTACATACTTGTTAAATAAACATAGTAATGGTTCAATTAAAATATCGATAGAAGCCTTCAACATATAACTATTCAATCAATAGTAATCCAATCTTGAAGTATTTTTAAGTAATAATATTGCTTCACGTACGTCATGATTCAAAATTGGTGACATAAAAAATGAAAATTGTGGTTTTGGGGCTTTGTTAAGTAATACCTACGGATCAAAGTTAACATTATCAATAGTATTATAGACTGCTTCAGAGACAGTAGTGAAAAAGATATTAAAATCATTAGGATCGATAGCACTGCTAGAATTTGAGCTACGAGTTTTCCTCTCATTGTTTACTAATTTCCATATACTTTTACTTTTATTATTAGTAATTTCATTTGAATAGAACTTTCTCTTTTCCAGTTTTAAAGTTTTTTTATAATTTGTCCGATTGGTACGGAAAACGGACCAATTTTCCTCAGATGGATTTGCATTAAAAGCTTTTTTACTAATAGACTCATTGAACAAGGAGGATATATAAAAATGTAACAAAGAAATATAAAAAATGCATAGGCAACATTTGATAGATTTGTTTAAAATATAGTCGAATATGAGAAACAGATAGGCATCTATTATTGTGTAAGTATAATTTTGTACGTATTATGCCTACATGTTTTTGAAATACAGAGTGATTCACAACTCAATGGACATATAACAAATGCGTGTAGAGGACACCAAAATATGTTGACTTTTCATATGAATTTTTTTTCTTATACCTACGGTTGCGGAGATATTGGCCTCTGAAGATATTTTAAAAAAAAAAACTCGAAAAAACTCGGTATTTCAGTAATGCCTTAAGACAGAACAACCAAATTTTGTAAATATATTAATTTTTTTGACGTCTTTAGCTGGTAGAAACTTGAAGTGACCGGCATCTCAAGAAGGGGTCACCCTTAAAATTTTATGAATTTTTTCAACCTTAACTTAATTTACAATTAAGATTTAATGGCAAATTCAATTTTACACTTTTTTATCCTTGTCAATTTTTCAAGAAACAGTACGTTTTTGAGAAAATAGCGATTTTGTGATAGGGGTCGAAACCGATTAAATCGAACAAAAATATGTGATTTTATAATTGCGGGTAGACTATACTACTACTGCTTTAAGGCCCACTTTTATAACCTAGGTTTAAACCCGAACTGAAGTTTAACTTTTAGATTCGACAAATAAACAATGGAGTGTTATTATGTCAAATCTGTCTGCAAGTTAAACTTCAGTTGAAGTTTAAACCTAGGTTACAAAAGTGGGCCTTAGCATCCAGAACTTAACTAAAGTTGATGCCAAGGAACTCTAGGCTAGGAATTTTTTGGAACAACTTTTGATAGTAGGCCGTGATTAAACCTATCGGTGGTATTCAGATTTGGAAGATTTTTTGCTAACAAGAAATCAAATATATTCGCTTTATTAAATTATTTTTCATTTCGTTCAACGCAAAATTTAACAAACAGTACTATTTCTTTGAAACTAATTAAGTAATAGTAAAAAATTAATACCAAAGATATTAAAACGGCCCCCATTTTCTCTTACACATAAATGTGTAAGTTCAGTTTCAACAGAAGTCGAATGTACAAATACAAAGCCCCCCAAAGAAAAAGTCACATTTACTTAAATCGGGCCATCGCGGTGGCCAGTGTTGAGGGCAGTTATTTCCACGACTTATCCATTGATTTGGAAACTGTTGGTTTAAAAATTCCTGAAAATTCATACTGAAATGCGGAGGCGAAGCATCGTGTATAAGCCACATTTAAAAACGTTTTTTTCCTTCAAATAATTGGAAGATTAAGAAATTCCGGGAATGGTACATTTCCAAACCAAGGTTTATATGAATTTCTTTGGTTATTTTGAAGCATGTTTGATTTTATGTTTCTGCATTTATTACAGGGACACTGTATATATATAAGTTTGATCTTACAATCAAATAATCAATGTTTACTACTACACTTACTAATGTATGATAATGAATGGTTAAATTAATAGTTCACAACTATAATACGAATATTGTTAATATTAAATAGTGAAGTAAAAGTTTTCTGAGTAGAGTAATTCAGATTTCATTCCAAATATTATATGGAGAAAAAAATACTGTATATAAAAGGTTTTTTTAAAAACTTACTGTGTTCTAAACAAATGAAATTTTTTTAAAATAAATATTTTATTATCCCCAAGAAGAACCAGTGGCTCCTCTATGGAGAAAGTAAACAAAGAAAGATCTAACAATTTACATGCCGTCAAAAATAAAATATTGAACAAAGTTAGTACTATTAATAAAGTAACAAGACATTACAAAAAAAACTTGGAACAACTAGTTTTCTAAAAAAATGAATGAATATTAGCATTTGTGTAAAAAAGCTACATATATGATGATAACTATTGACGTTTATCAATTAGTGTCATTATAAAGTACTGTTGGTGTCTATGAATTATCTTGTCATCATACATGTTATATCATATTTTAATGAACATGTGAAATTAATTGTATACC